GTTTAGTTCGTGCCCAGAGAACGAGGAGGATTCCAGCCGGTCGACTGAACAGATGCAGTGGTTGCTGCCAGAGAGTTCCAGACACGGAAGCCTTGAAAGCTGCAGAGCTGACAGGAGATCAGATCCGAGCTGACGAAGGAAGACATGATACTCCAAAGGGCAAAGTCAAGAGGCAGATCCAGGTTCAGTCCACAGAAGAATACGAAAGGAGTCCGAAGACAGGCAGGCAGGCAAAGTAGACAGGGGACAGGGAGGCTCAAAGGTCCAAATACAGAAACAGATCAGATCAGACAGTCATTACACTATAGTAATGCTAGAGAACTCTCAACACCAAGAATAATCTGGCACTGATGGCTGGGAAACAGGCAGCCTTAATAGGAAACTGGAGGTGTTGGATCTATTGAGTGATGAGGTCCAAGGCAGAGCTACACAATCAAATTTTTCCCTTTCCTTTTTTTTTTAAATGACCACTTGCAAAATATAAAACACGTGAAAAAATAAAACTGAGCCCTTTCTGTCCTATATTGTTTGACTTGTTCAAGTCCTGGGTATAAAAATATTGTGTCACAGAGGCTTTTTTTTATTTGCCACTCCTTCAATTGGGAAAGACAAGAAAACTACCTTAATGTAATTCAGATAGATTTTATTAGTAATAAGATACACACCAGGAGTTGGCTAATCAAAATGCATCTTATTCTACATTTTTTATTTAAACCTTTGAAACTGAAACCTGCAACTTTGGTGGGACCAACTGTGATGACTAGCAAACACCCAAGGGGGATGTGGTGCAATAGGAATGATAAGAAATCAGAAAGATAATTTTTACAGTATAGAAAAGGACTGTGATGCTGTAGGAATGTTCTTTACCTTTATATGTATATGGAACCTTAGAAAATGCATAAACGGTTGCATGATCTGATTGAAATGTCTTTATAAAACACATTGAGATAGCATGCTGTGAATTGGAGCTACATGAATTAAATAAGTTGTATTGAATTTAACTGCATTAGGCTGGAGACACACTACACCACTTTTAGTTCTTAAACATTCTGAAATGACTTGCTGTTCTTATTCAAAGTCTATTTTTGTCTCATGATTGAATTACTAAGGATCAAACAGTTAACTGTTACTGCTGATGGATCCCGGGCTACAGGATTTTGAGACCAACAGTCTAAAGGAAGTAGTTTGAAGTTATAGAATAGAAATCATTGAGATTGATTTTGCCATTTTCTTATTGTTTTCTTGTTAACAACCAACATCCCGTGTTACATCAAAATGGCATAGTACTGCCAAAAACAATGCTTTTGTTTTCTGTCTATTTTAGTCACATGTTACAACCAGCAGTTAGTACTTGATTACTTAACTATCGCGTTTGGAAACAAGAGTGGTCGAACACTTTTCAATGACTGTAAATATGTCATTTGTGTATCAGGAGACCAGAAATGCCGAGACAATTTGTCTTCTGCTTTGAATGCAATTACTACACCAATGGCACCCCCCCAGGAGTGAGTTGATATTGCAGTGGGCCCATCTGTTAAACTCCTGAAGTTTGGAGTTGACACAAATATTATTGTTATGATCAGGAAATTATACAGACAGGTGGTTGGCTGGTCCAATAATACAGTCCGATACTAACTCACTAAACACAGTGGAGTTGATAATTGACCTTGAAAGAACTGCCCTCTCTCACAAACCGAGATAGTCCTCCTACATAGACATTGTTCAGGGGAAAGCCCAGCAGAGACTACACTTCCTGTGGAAGCTCAGCTCCTGTGGCTCTTTTTGTGGAAGTAGAGCCTTCCGCAGAAGCTGCTGGACATCATCTACACTGCTGTTATTCAGTCTGTTGTGTGCATATCCATCACTGAGCATGTTTATGTGTACAGTAGATAACTGGAAAAATCTAACACTTAATCATTACCAACAAGAGTATATTCAGTAAAAAAAATCTGATATTCATGAAATCTCTGTCTGACTGTTCTATTATCACATTTAATGAATGTGGGATGCATGTTTAGAGTGAAGAGTGGTGGCAGAGTGTGTTGTGTAAAGAATAATGGGCATACAGTGGAGATTCCATCTCAACCACCTCAGCCCCTACATCAATGTTATAATTTCTTTTCATCAAAGAAAAAAATGTTTTAAAAGAAATATTTCTTTTTGTCATATGTAAGTTACTTAAAATCTTTACCTATTATTACTTTCTTCTGATTACCCACTGCAGTATTGGAGAAGTACCACCACCTGCCATTCCTTCAAAATAATTAGTAAAGAAGTTCAAAATACCCGCTGATGCAGTACCAAAAAAGTTTGTCAAGCTGTGTCATGATTCTGCCCTTTGTGGACTTCTGTTTAAGTTTCTTTTAAAGTTTTCAGTTACACTTTGATTTATGCCATTCTGTGTCATTGATTTTTTTTTCATTTCGTGTTGTATTTAAGCAATGTTGTATTTCTTGAGGTACTGTCGGTGATTTCTGGACTTTGTATTTGATATTACCTATTCATTAAATTCTGCAAGCATTTTTCCCTGCTTTGTTCTACTCTGCATTGGGGTCCACAACTACATCCACCAACCCTGATAAGCTGCTATACATAAAGCTTGCTTTGCTATTGGTAGAGATTATACAGAAAATATTTTGTTCAGAAATGCTTGATTTCTAAGGTATTCTGGTTAGAACATTATTTATTTCAAGAATTGGAAAGCAGCTTTACCACACAGGCCAATTATTTTGGCCACTGCAGTATGACAGACTATAGAGACAATAAAAAATTGGCACATAAAAATCTAATTTGTCAAACTGACAGATCAAATGCTACACTTCGATAAGATTAAGAGAAAATGTGTGTTATTAACAAATTAATAAAGAATATTTCTTTTGAAAAAGCATTCTTATATAATTTGTGTATCTGTAGACACTTCCACCCATAAACTGAGCAAAAAAACATGATCGTTAGGCTCTGGCAGGCGAAAGTAACAGCAGAAACAAAAACACACACGGAAGCAGCACACCAAGCAGAGTTCATCTTCCCTTGTTTTCTTTAAACCAGCAGTTCAGTGAGCTGAACACTCTGGCTTATAGACACAGTGCAAAAAGTCCCATATGCACAAACAGTGTTTCGGCTCGGTTCACAAATTGTTTGCCCTCTTTCTTTCAAAACTCTCTGTGCTTACAAATAGCATGTTTAAGAACCAGAACAGAAAAGCAGACCCAGAAAGCATCTGAACTGTAAGCAAGTTGTTTTATCAAAGAAAGTGTAGTAAACACTGGAACATAAAAAAAAATGAAACAAATTACGGTGATTAGTATGAATTAGATTTAATAATAGAAACTATATTCAGAATGGTGTAATGCAGCTTTGACAATTAAGTATTTTATCAGATATTGTTTCTGAAAAAAGTCAGAAGTTTGTGTCTTTTTCTTAAAGTTTATAAGTTAGATTAGTTAAAGTCAGAGTTCCTGTATTGATAGATCATATATTTTGGAGTGTTAGACTGTTCTCTGCATTTCTATAAGGCTTAATCATGATATATCCAAACAAAACGCTTTTATATAAGATAAATTGTATAATAAATTAAAATCCTTTCATTTCAAACCTCTCCAGCTTCTGTACGAGACATCTCTCCTTCTATAGAAAGATACTATCTTTACAGGGTATCGATTAGTGATATTTCAACCTTTCTGAGACATTTAACTCATAATCATACAATTTTCTATGAACTCTCACTTATAACTTATAAGTGAATAACAGTGAAATTTGAAATTATTTTGATTTTCTAGTTTCTATTCATGAGCTTAAAGATTTAAGAATACATGCTTTCTTTTCAGAATATTTTATTTTCAAATTCTTGTATTGTAGCACAGATTTGTGGAGCAGAATTACCAGCTGAAAGCAGTGCTTTGGTAGACTAGCGGCCCTAGCCACTGTGGCCTTGTCATGTTACTCAAAGCTCTCTTAAGCACTCAAAATGATTAGCTATTGCCCAACTTGAAATGGTGCCAGGGTCAAAGCACGGTTTTAATGTAGTACAGAGTAAACTGGGTTTGGGATTTATTCCAAAAGGACAATTTACGAGAATTACTGGAGGCAAAACAAGTTGTCAAGATACCATTCCATCAGTGGAAGGCAGCAAAAAATTTTGCCTACTGCAGAAAATAGACCCCTCCTCTGTGGTTTTAAATTATCATTTGGACATATCCTGCTTTACTTTTAAGCTACAACTAAGTGGCAAAATGATCACTATGTGCATAACTTACCCCTTCAAACGACCACTAGTGCTTCACACTGTGTGATTCTGTTGTTCATGTGACAAATGAATGGTGGGTTCTCTGTGTGGGTTGATGCACAGAAATTCAGTTACATAATAGCAGCAGTCCCTTCATTTCATTGCAGTACATTTTAAAGAGCTAAATTATTTGTTTTCTGATAGAGGTAAGAATATGTAAGGTTATGTTGTGCATCCACTTCAGTTCCAAGCAGAGATCATGGGTAGAAGAATTTTATTCTTCTGCTTTGTGGCATTTTTTTAGTCTATACTGACTCATAATTACAACAGTCCCTAAGTCCCTAAGAAGCCTTGCAAGATTCTCAAAACTTGCACTTTGAAAATACTGAAATATCAAAAAATTGAATACCCACCGCGGGCGGTCTCCCCTTTTTTCCTACAAGCTTGGCTCTTCTACCAGAGGCCTGGGAGCTTGAGGGTTCTGTGCAGTATCTTTGCTGTTCCTAGAACTGCACTCTTCTGGACCAAGATATCTGATGTATTTCCAGGGATCTGCTGTAGCCACTCTTCAATTTCAGGGTCACTACCCCGGGTGCCCCAGTGACCACGCTTACCACTGATGCCTTGACCTTCCTGTAGTTGTTTGTGAGAGTGCACCTGTGCATGTACAGTTCATCCAAAGGAGAAATGCTCAATAGTGGTTGTGAAGAGAAACCCGAACACCCAAAGGCGCCCAAAGGAACCCCAAGAGCAAAGGCGCCCAGGAGGGGCCAACCTAGGAAATCCAACCCCCCACCAAAGGAGGAGGAGAGATGATCCGGAAGAAATCTCCCAGCCACCACAATGCTGGAGCACGGGGACAAGTCCAAAGTGGATCCGGCCATGGGCCCCGGGGGTGCCCTGGCCGGGCCCCGGCGAGGAAAAGCTGGGAAATCTAACAATTAGCTGATTTACTGTAAATATCATTTTCTTTTAGCTTGGCCCAGTAATCCCACAAGTAGCATATTTCAAAACATTCATGTACAATAATATTGCGTTACATTTACTGAATTCTAAAAAATATCAAGTGTTTACACATTTGTAAATGTCAAGGTACACATTTCAGCTTTGTTTGATACACATTTGTGAATTGAGATACACACTTACAAATGTTGTTGTATGCTTGGGGATCTCATCTTATGCATACAAGTCTAGGCGTGTGCTATTTAAATCTGTTTACGCTGAAGTTTATTGGGCAAGTGGTGATTTGGGGCTCCATTTCTGCTGGTATTAGTCAAACACTAGTATATATAGACAAGAGTCAAACACAGCCTTCAAACAATTAGATAGAGCACTGCAGGCTTCCTTTTAGTGAGGAGTTGTATAAAGAAGCTCTAATTTAATCATTAGCAGGGCTTGGTAACTGCTCACAATACCAAAGGTACCAAAAGGCCAATCAACCTGTGCTTGATAGCCCAGAAGAGTGACCTGACCTTAACCCCAAAGGGAATCTATGGGGTATTGCCATGAGATGGATGAAAAACACCGGATCCAATCATGCAAAATACCTGAAAGGAGCTATTCCTCATTCAAGATCTTCTTTATATGCTCATTGTCCAACGTGTCTTGCAGGTGAATTGGTTAAAAGATTTATATCTAAGAATTATAATAGAAATCATTATATATATGTTTATATATTTATTTAACATGGACATCACTCTCTGAAATAAATAACAAAACAATCTTTCGCAATATTGAATTTTTTCAAAGATGTACATGTAAACTCAGTTAAGCATTTTATGAGATTGTTTTTTTTTTTAATATGTTACTTTTTTCCAATGTCAAAGTTCTGTTTGACTTATTGAGAGGTTCTGGCCTGAATGGATAAAAAGCCCCACCGAGTGTGAATATTCTAATGCTGTTATGCTGTGTGGCCCGTTTTTTATAAAGTGCACTTATTGCATAAAACAACTTCTGTAATGTCGCATCTACTTGTGAAATGGCATTGCACTTGTTGCAGCTTTGAGCACAAAATGACATTTTACAAAGTGGAAAATCATTCTAAGTCTCAGTTTTAAAACTGCAAAACAAGAGAGCAAAAATTTTGGAGGGGTGCATCACAATTACTTATTGTGAGAATAGTATCAATCATTTAAAAGGTATAGAAATGGGAACATCTATCTTGCAAAACCGATCTTAGAACCAGACAGAAGCTGGAAGCTATTTAAAAGCTTCAATAGATGTCCAATAAAGAGAGGTTTTAAAATATTCTGCAGACACAATGAACAACCAAGGGTCAGAAAACCTCAAGGCCTTCATGACAAATTGGGAGCAGAGTTGATGAAAGAGGGCATGGAGAAAATGGGAGTGGGAGAAGTGAAGTGTGTAAAGATTGGATGAGGTCAGTGAATTTGGTAAGTCTTAGATTCGAGAAAAACTTGAGGGTTCTATTCTTTTGAGCACATTAAGGAGGAACTCTGTTACAGAATCAGTCTGTGGTGGACAGAGCAAGAACATGTTAGTATTTTGGGATTACAATCAGTACGTAAATATGTTTTTCAAACATTTTAATAATGGGCACAAATAAAAGTAGGCCTACCTTTTGAAATGAACAAATTTAAAGTTGGTTGTAAACATAATTTTTATTAAGCACATATATCCATATTTAAAACGTGTTCATTGATCCCATTTTTCATTCTATTCTTAAATGTTTTAATCAGGTGTTAGCAGAAAAATCCTCATACTCACAGAAATGAAACATTGAAAATCTGAGCTTTTATTAACTTTCCAAAGAGCAGGGTCACAGACATGTCATAAAGAATAAGCATCCCAGTTTATTAACATCTAATTTATATTCAAAAGAGCTAGCTGCAATCCAGAGCAAATGTTTGAGAACAGACCTTGATTTATTTAGAAGTGATATTCACAAGGACCATTATTTCAGGAAGTGAGGTTGAATGTTTTTCTATTATTCCTTATCCAAGGCCTCCACTGTTTGTATCCATGTAGCATCACGCTGCATAACACAGATACTGCATTTGTTTATTCTCAATGCCAACTAGGAAATACCTTCCACCTAGTGTTATCCTTAATTACAGTTTGAAATGTAATAAATATGGCCGTTTACAACTTCTTGAAACAGCAGAAGCTAATTTGTTTAAAGTTCTAACTACAGCAATGGCTATCAAAAAGTATAATACATAAAATAAAACATTAAATTTGTTATTTGGAGGGAGAAAAGTACAAAATCAAAAGGACACTAATAGCCTTCATCAAGAACTCAATGAAACTTTGGAAAACAAGTCTGGAAGCCAACGCAAAGCCAATTGCACAAGTCACCATCAAGTGCGGCATATACCAAGGCGATGCACTATCCCCTCTGCTGTTCTGCATAGGCCTGAACCCCCTCAGCCAGATCATCACAAAGACTGGCTAATGATACCAATTCTGAAGCGGAACAATCATCAGTCACCTCCTCTACATGGATGACATCAAGCTGTATGCCAGGAGTGACATCGACTCACTGATCCACACTACCAGGATCTACAGCAACGACATTGGAATGTAATTTGGACTGGACAAGTGCGGCCGCATGGTCTCAAAGAGAGGGAAGATGATCAGAACAGAGGGGGTTGAACTACTAGAAGGCCACATAACAGATGTTCAGGACAGCTACAGTACAAATACCTTGGTGTGCCACAGGCTAACGGAAAACAAGAGGAGACAGCAAGAAAAACTGGCACAGCCAAATATCTACAAAGAGTAAGTCCTGAAAAGTCAGCTGAATGGGAAAAACAAGATCCAAGCCATCAACACATATGCCCTGCCAGTCATCAGATACCCCACTGGTATAATAAACTGGCCAAAGGAGGACCACTGTCCAGGATGAAACAACTAAGATCCAGGAGTACATCAGAAAGATGGCCCCCAAAGACAAATGGCTTGGTGAGTACCTCAGGCAGGAGAAAACCGAAAGTGAGGACAAGAAAGATGAAGAAGAACCATCATGGAGAGACAGGCCGCTGCACGGCGTGTACCACAGTCAAATAGAAGAAGTGGCTGATATAAAAAAATCCTACCAGTGGCTGGAAAAGGCTGGACTGAAGGACAGCACAGAGGCACTAATCATGGCAGCACAAGAACAGGCACTCAGTACAAGATCAATAGAGCCTGGGGTCTACCACACCAGGCAGGACCCCCAATGCAGACTGTGCAAAGATGCCTCTGAAACAATACAGCACATAACAGCAGGGTGTAAAATGCAGGCAGGAAGTGCATACAAGGAACGCCACAACCAGGTTGCTGTCATAGTGTACAGGAACATCTGCCATGAGTATGGGTTGGAAGTCCCAAGGTCAAAATGGAAGACACCTCCTAAGGTAGTTGAGAATGACCGAGCTAAGATCCTATGGGACTTCAAGATCCAGACTGACCAACAGGTGATGGCTAACCAACCAGACATCGTGTTGATCGACAAACAGAAGAAGAAGGCAGTAGTGATAGATGTGGCAATCCCAAGCGACAGCAACATCAAGAAGAAAGAACACGAGAAGCTTGAGAAATACCAAGGGCTGAAGGAGGAGCTAGAAAAGATGTGGAAAGTAAGAGCTGCAGTGTTGCCAGTGGTAATTGGAGCACTGGGGGCTGTGACCCCCAAACTGGGAGAGTGGGTACAGCAGATTCCAGGTAAAACATCAGAGGTCTCTGTCCAGAAGAGTGCAATCCTAGGAACAGCTAAGATACTGCGCAGAACCCTCAAACTCCCAGGCCTCTGGTAGAGGACCCAAGCTTGAGGAGGACACATACCACCCCACGAGGGGTGAGAAAATAGTTTTTTTTTTTTTTTTTTTTTTTTTTTTATATATATATACAGATATATCTAATGCCAGTTTTCAGTTTTATTTTATATCGTTCTAAAAAATAATTAGAACTTTAATGTGAGATGTGATATAAATCTAATGTGGTATTGTCTTATATGTTACAGTTTTTTTCCATTGGTATTGCTAGTTGAGGGGCGGGGCTTGGCTGGTGCCGATAGTTGTGGGGCCGTGCCCATTGATTTTTACATAATAATTGTGAAAACTTCCTAAATGTTATGTCAAAGTTGGTGGATCTTACATGATAACTGAAATGCCTAATTTCCCAGACACAAAAAACTTTTGATTATTACCAGAAAAAAGCTGTTGTTTTATTGCACACAGTAGAGACTTAAATGGAAAATAGCATTTTTTTTTTAACTAATACTATCCATCTGTACGCTGACCAGCAAAAGGTTAAACTTAGGCATGTCAGACACTAAAATCTCCACTTAGTCAGAATCTGATAAAGGATTTGCACAATGAGTTGTGACAATCCCATTTAGACTGAAGCATGTTGAAGAATGCACTTATCACTCTGCAACACAGGGTGAATGTTAATTTATCCAAAGTTTATCACAGTGATGACTTTGAATGAAAACAATCCTGTTTGGCAGATAAAATTATCATTTTAAATGTCCTTCTTTTCAGTACCCCTTTCACCCTCATGACCTCCTCCCTGAGCAAAGATGTCCCAGTGAATTTCAAATAAGCAATATAAAGATCCCAACCGTTGGAAGGTCACAGGGTCTCAATTTTCATTTAGCCTTTGAGACCATCACTGTCTACTAAATTACAGCATCATTAGCAATCCAACTCTCTGTCCAGCTTGCTGTCTGTCTTGTATTGTGATGACATCCAGTTTTGAACGTGACTTCAAATGTTCATTGGGATTTGTGATCTTTTTTTAATAGATTGAAAATACCATCTGTGCAACTATACTTTAATGAATTAGTGATTTGAAAAAAAGGAAAATTAAACATTCCTGAGTCTTTGAAGAGAGCAACCACATCCAGTATTTTTCACCCCATCTGCCATGATGAGTTGCC